CTCAATATAGCACAATTGCATATGCAAAATAACAGGGCTCTCCAGAGCAGGCACAGTCGGTCTCTCTCTCTCTGCCAGCTCATTCCCGGGCCTCTTAATGCGGTCTCTCCATGCCAATTACTGGAACAAGACACAGGTGTTTGTCACTTGCATTTGACCCGCTTACTCACTGCTCGTCTCCCAACTATAGCCTTGTTCAAATACCCACACTTGTGGTCTTTGCACTTGACCACTTATATGACGTATTTCCTGTATTTGGCTCAAGTGTTCAAGTGAGCATGAAGACCACAAGTGTGTGTCGAACTTTTCATTACCTGATGGGACACACTTGTAGTGTGGTAAAAATGCAAGTGTTTACATAGCTTTATTCAACTTCTAAATGTCTGTTCAGTAGTCCCTATAACATGACTATTTTAATTTGTGGTGCTTCTAATTACCTGATAAAAAGCAGTTGCAAATGTTGTACAAAATAAATATCACCACTACTCATCTTTGCACCAATAAAACGTAAAAACAGGGTTTTTCTACCAAGTAATATGTAATATCTAAATATTATATTAATATTTAACTTGCATTGGAAAGGTTTCCGTGACCTCTTGCGAGATCTCGGCAAAAAGTCTCACGATTTATTTCCAGAACATGATGCATGATGGGATACACTAAGCCTCGAATAGCACTCCGGAGCGGTATTCGAGATAGTGTGGGTTTAGTGTGCGTTAAGGGCACTGTGCTCTGGCGTTTTTAAGACCTGGGACAGTCTTGCGCACTTACTTCCTGTCAAGCGCACGCGCTCTCAAGTGGCCAAGACCGCAAGTGTGGGTATTTGGACAAGGGGTCTCTCTCCCGCTGCAGACCTCGCTGAACCATGCCCCCCTTGCCACACAGTCATTTGAAGCATTTGCTTAGATAACTGTAAAATGTTTGGGATCTGAAAGAAATCAGAAATGGCAGCATATGAAAGTATAAACATCTTAGCTTGTGCACTAATTGAGCTTATGCTTGAAATTTGCAGTCGAGTATTATTAAAATCACTGGCAGGCGAATTCATAGATACTAGACATGAAATAGTTACTTATATGAATGTGTGGTTTATCGTAAGCACGGATAAAAATAGTCTATAATACAACAGATTAAATACAACACAGCAATAATATACACACTGGCCTGAAGAAAATGGGTGTTCATTCAAAGAAGGTTTTCCTATGAATTAATTAGTAGAAAAGTCCATTTCTCCTGTGCATTTGTGTCCCTTTGTTTCTGGAGAAAGCAGAATGAGAGCCGGCTCGCATTCCACAAGGTTGTAAATGTATCGGGTTACCATGAAACCAGGGTCTTGTTCGGTGTCCTGGGGTGTTACAAAGTATTTGTGAAATCTAGCTAACAAAATATATATTGTGTGTGGGAGTGTTCCAGACGCTACACTTACAACAAATTGCTTTTAATGTTCCTCATAAGTTGCTTTCAGTAAAAAACATCTGTGAAATGAACAAATCTGAATAATGAATTTGCTTTCTATGAGTATAACATCAGTTCTTTTAAGCTATTTTAAATGAGAATACAGTTAGACCACGTATTGACCACTTATTCATTTATTTACGGGGTAATAGGCTTTACAGTAAATAGTCAAGATATTGTGAATTAGTTTTTTATAAACCCTTTGTGTAAACTCTTTTGTTTTTACAAACATCTCAACAATTAACAGTTAAAGAGGAATCAAACTGAGAGATACTAAGAATTAGATTATTATTTTTGAAGTGCACTTTAAAAATTAAGATTTTTTTTGTTAAAATAGTTAAACAGATTAAAATCACTCTTGAGAGAAATCACACAATAATGAACAACATGAATTGTAAAAAGAGACTTGATTGAATGTAATAGACTGGATTAAACTGAAATGGCTGTAAAGCAGCTGAAGCCAAATGAAACTCTGGGCCGTCAGATAAACTCTGGACGCTATACAAACTCTAGACATCAGAACGGGTTCGGCAGAGCCATGCTGTTGTTCACAGGAATCACCGCAGCTCATTTCTGAAGACATGAAAGACATTGTGTTCATTCTTACAGCTGAGAATCGAGCTGTTGCTGAAGCGAATGCTGCTAGTGTAGCTGTTCTGATTGCTGTTAGCGAGGAACCTTGTGACAGGAGAAGAATGACATGAAACACCATTGTTAGATCATTCCTGATCACTGAGAGAAACTGTATTTCACTGGGATCAAGAGGAAGCGAATGAGATTCTGTTGTTCTGAATTCATCAGCTTAGTCTCGAATCATCTCTCCAGAGCTTCAAGAATAAAGCTTCATCCTTCACCAGCAGGTCTGAGCGCCGCAGCAGAGCGTCCATCATGTGAAAGAGATGCTGCTCCACACTGGAGATCTTTTGAGAAACTCAGCATTCAGGAGAGACACTGAAGGATGTTCTCCTGCAGAACAAGCTCACGTGTGTCGACGCCGTACTCCTACATCTATACCTGCATCTGGAAGTGTTGTCTTCAGGAATGAGTGAAGATCCTGCTGACATCCTCCAGAAGCTCCTTCGGTCCAAAGATAAACACCAGCTGATGGAGACATTGAGCCGATGTGATGGAAACATCAATCTGGCGAGTGTAGAGACACCTGAGCAGAATCAGTTCAGACACTGTGTCTAACATTCATATAGAGTCAGCAGAATCCTGATTTTAGTTCAAAGTGAAGTGACTTCAGAAAGTGAGCTGAGAAAAGCAGAGACACGAGGACACACATATAGCTGACGTCCACTCTGAGCTTTCTGGACTCATTTCTTATGTTTTATATTTCTTACGTCTATGCAAACGTGTCTTTATGTATCGAGACAAAAGGAGGTCAATCACTGTCTGTCAGTTTATAGTGATCGTGTAGATTTGCAAAGACACTGATGAATGGTGCACCACAAACAGCTTTTGGTTTTATTTCTCATCAAAAACAAAACAACTTTAAGCAAATAGTGTTAAATCATATCTAAAGAAATTCTAAATTGAATCCATTTTAATTTTAATCTAAATTTAATTTCAGTCGGCTTGGCCTTCGGAAGATGCACAGCTTCAAGGCGACTTTGTTTCCATGTGTGTACGTCTGTGAAAAACACATCGACTCCCTGTTTACGAAAGTCCTAACCGTATATGCAGTGTTATTATTATTATTTCTTGATTTCTCATGGTCTCTCCTGATCTAGATATAAACAATAGCTGGAAACTGGAGAAAGTAGAAAGAAAATAATAACACATGGCCTCCGTGCTTTTCTGATTGGATAGTTAAAAACGGCCAGTAATTGGGAAACAGCTCTTGAGCTCAACGGCTGCGTCTGAAAGCTGGAAACGCTGCTCTCGGAGGATCCTAGTGATGGGAATTCTGGCTCTTTTTCAGGGATCCGGATCATTTGGCTCAGCTCAGCAAAAAGAACCGGCTCTTTATTTAGTACCACCTCTGGCTTTTACAATTCAGCCAAGTTTTGACCTACGTCTGGTATGTGTGCACAAACATAATTAAATTATTCAAAGAAATTAAACTAAACAAAAGATAAAAAATGTAAACTATAAAATGCCACATAATATTCAGTTTTGTTAAATCACACTTTAATTCAGATTTACACAGTTCACATTCAAATTGTTTTGTCATATTTCTGGCTCCATAAACCTTTCCAAAACACCATAATTTTACATTAGTTTTGGCATTAAACCTAATTTAAGTAAGAACATAAAACAGTGCTTGATCTGGGAAACATCTGATAAACGTTTTAGAAAAAGCAGATTTACATGCATTCTAAATCATAAACATCTTCAAGACATTTTCTAAACATCTATTTAACATCAGATAGCAAATGTCTTCGGCCTACAAGCTGCAGCGTGCAGAGCGAGTGAATGCGATCATCCCTTTCTCTTTTCTCTTTCTACTATAATGCGAAATAAACACTAATGAATATCTCATGTCTCACGTTGAGTGTCCACAGCTTGTTACTTTGCTAGAAAAATGAATGAACTCTGGAGAAGAGCATTTCGTTAAATATTTGCACTATATTAGCCTATAAAACCTTGTGAAGACTTACAGAAAATGTTTGACCTCTGTCATTGCCAACAAAGTGTATATAACAAAGTATTGAGATGAAATTTTGTTATTGACCAAATACTTATTTTCCACCATAATTTGCAAATAAATTCTTTAAAAATCCTACAATGTGATTTTCTGGATTTTTTTTTCTCATTTTGTCTCTCATAGTTGAGGTATACCTATGATGAAAATTACAGGCCTCTCTCATCTTTTTAAGTGGGAGAACTTGCACAATTGGTGGCTGAATAAATACTTTTTTTCCCCACTGTATATTTAACCTGTTAGTGATGTTTTAATTAGTTTATATTTAATTAGTGTACATGTACATTTAAATTTGTCATGAAAACAAAGTAGAAACATCATTTTATAATTAGATTTAGATATTTTGTAAAAACTGCCTGTGCAATTTACATGTTTGCATACTTTTTCGAGGGTTGATTATTGTATCGAAAAATGAATATAAATTGAATTTAATAGTCTGAGCTCTGTTGTTAATTGTAACCTTTAAATGTTTTTGTAATGTGCTAGTAATAGGGCTTCCTGTTTTATAGCTTTAGCTGACATAGATTTTTTTATCCTTAAGAACATTTTAATTATAATTGAATTTATTTAAAGACAGAGCCTTTAAGCCGTTCAAAAAATGAATAAAAAAAGTAGCAATTTTATGTTTTCTCCCCCTGCTGTAACAAAAATGTATCAATGTCTTCATAACTGAGGCTCTGAACCATCATTTTTGTGTACCATTACACCCCTAATGTTTTCATTATTATTATGTATATTATTAAATATTATGTCTAAAAATATCCTGTTATAGAGTAGCTGAAGCTTTCTTCATTTAAAAAGGGCTACACAGCAGCACTCGTGTCTTGGATGGTAGAAAAAGAGAATGTGTGCAGTGCTGATCTGCAGTCGTTAATAATATGTGTGATATTCAAATAATCTAATGTATGATGCTAATTATGGTATAATGTTCTTTTTTCTCTCCTTTTTCCTGACAGACTGTGAGTGCGAAAGACTGGTGAGACTTACCAAAAGTATCAATTATTGTGCATTTATTCACTCAATTACAACAAGGCACACTTCTGTTATGTTCTGTATTGTACTTCTGTTATTAAAATTAAAATAAAATAAAAAAAAGACTGTGAATCAATTTTTGTGTTTAAGATTATCTCTGTAATGGGTATTTTAAATAAAAAAAGCCTTACTCAGCCCCTCACAGAACTCAGACATACAAGAATAACATAAGGTTCATATATCAGCCACATCTTTTTTTTAATGATTTGGCTCACTTCAGGCTGAGATGTGGCACTGTTTTGGTTCAGTTCTGGCTAAAAGGGTGTGGACCAGTTCTGGGTCGGCCAACACGTGCTGATCTGGGCCACGCTCTAGCTGTTAGGGTTTGGGCCAGATCCGAACCAAAGGAAATTTGCTGACTGGGACGTCACCAACATAAATGTTAAGTGCTTGAATCAATATGATTATTCTGTGTATGGTTAAGTTCTTGCTGCATGACTCATCACAGTTTCAGAGTTCTGTGGGATAATTATAACTGCTTATTAAAACCAAAGCTGACCTCACTGTATTCTGTTTGTAGCTATATCTTTATTTGCGGTGTTGCTTTGACCATTTAAACATGTTAATTACACAAACAAATGTTTGGCGTACTGTCTCTGGGGAAAAAACAATCAACACATTGATAAGACTTTATTTATGTATTGTAGACGTTATTACAAAGCGAAGCAAAATTTGCTGAAATATAATATGATCAGATGCGCAGTCAAAGTCGCGTTCGTTACGATAGCAACAGTAGATCAAACAATCAAACACTTTGGTTATGTCGAGATCACGAGAAAACAAGAAAGACAAATATGAATAATCCATGGCCTCTTAGGCCTTGCGTAGGTTTGAGATCGGTGAGGGGAATTGATGGGAATCTCAAGTGTTGCTGCTGTGTGCTTTCATTTCCTTAATTTCTCCTTTGACATTTATCTTGGGCAGATTGTATTTACTTGTTAAAACTGAAATATATTTCTAAACACTTGTTCCTGTAATGAGCAATGAACGTAGGAAATTTCTAATCTATTCATAAATGTGAATATAGATCAATATTAATGAAGTTTGACTCAGGGAACATTACATATTGCTGGTGCTCTTTATTTTTAAAAGTTTTATGATCAATGTTAGTTTCTGTAGAAAAACCTGTAAAATGTTAATGATCTAATTACCCTACTTTATTGCAATTAATGTAGTTATTAGTAAACCAAACTATATGAAGATTAATATGGACATGTTAGGCTATGGTGTTGTAGGAATGTTATTTACCTGTGTGTCATTAGTGTTTTCTTTCAGTCCAACACTTTTATAGACTTTTGTCGTCCTGACTCAAATAAACTGTTGCTAAACACTCAGAATAAAGAGAGCTGATCTGCTGATGATCTGAATGTCTTGTTGAATGAGTGTTGATCTGAGGCTCATCAATATTAACAGAGCTGCTGAAAACACTCTTTATTTCATCTCAACAGCTCCAGTTTTCACCTCATTTATTACGCTGATGTCTTCTGATGTCCTGTAAATTGCCACTTAAAGCTCATTTCATTGGTGTTAACAGACTGATGGTATTTGTTTTCATTTTTATTTTGTATTTCATTTTTTATGTTTTTAACTGTTTTTATTACTTTTTTTTTTTTTTGGGGGGGGTAGCGCTTATTTGCACTTAGTGTAAATAGCAGTATTTTCTTAGCGATAAGCTGTTTACACTACGAGCAAATAGCTATAGATTCTACTATGTTATAAAATATAAATAGCAGGATGTTCTGCTATTTCTACTACTTATTGCAAATAGTGCCAATTATCTGCACCTCAGTATTGTAGTACATTATAAAACAGTATGCATTAATAACGTATTGAGTGTAAATTAGATTTAATTCAAATTATTAAATGGATGCCAACTTGTTGGGACAATAAAGCCCTCCCTACAGCTACCCAACACTTTATTTTCAACTTTTCTATCATTTCCTTCATTTTTATTGAAAATAAATGCCTTTCCGATGTGATATGATATTTGAAAAGGGAGAAAAAAAGTTATTTACAATACATAATACAATAGTAACATTATTTATATTGTGAAAGTGATCTCAGTAAGCAATATATTTTTAAAATTTTTGGCAGATCAGCTCCTCCCATGCTGCAATTTACCTTCAATGAAGCTCCTCCCACATCAAGCACATCACTAGTGAAGCTCCTCCCACATCAATCACATCACTAGTGAAGCTCCGCCCACATCAATCACATCACTAGTGAAGCTCCGCCCACATCAAATCACATCACTAGTGAAGCTCCGCCCCCAGCAGTTCAGCAATAAATGCTGGAGTATTCCCATCAGTTTACAAGTGCAGAGGAGCATCAGAGCATCAGGAAGAGCTGAGATCTGCAAAGACGGAGTTTCTTAAAGAGGACAGAGAGAAGATGAGAGATCCAGAGCCCTGCAGAATCAGACACACTGAAGATACTGAAGAACTAACAGGTTGGGGTTTATTCTTGATTTCTCATTCATTCATGATGCAGAAGAACTTAGTTAAATCAGATTTAGGTCAATAGTTCAAACATGAAATGGGTAGATTTTTTCTTTGTTTTTGGCTTTCAACAAATAGTCAAAGGGAGGTTTCAGAATCTTTCATATTCATTGTCAACATCAGGTCAAATTAAATATTACTTTAGCACAATTTTTGCAATCAGTTTAACCGCATTTTAATATGACTTAAGCAAAATCTGATTCATAATTACTGATGAAGTTGTATTTCTCATAAATTATAGCAGTTATTCATAGTTAAAGAGATTATTCTCTGATCAACACTGCAGTTTGTTTACAAACTGAGACAATGGATTGAGAAGATTTAATGAAATAATAGCAAGCAAGAGTTGTTACATGGAACTACTATTTAAATTAATATTGTTTATTAAATAGTATTAGTCATAACATCAGACTAATAATCATAGTTTGTGACCGTGAGATCCTTGTTAATGGCCGGCGAGAGAGACTAATCGACACTGGAATCTAAACGAACGAGTAAAATATAAAGCAAAGAGTTAAACAGAGTAATCAAATATCTACTTATATTAATATATAAATGACCAATAATCAATTCGTTTTTCAACCTAAATTCGAGATGGTGATAACATGGATACCTAATAATTTGCACACTGCTTATAATGTTTTAAAAATAACTGGAAAATCAATGCACCTCATTCGTGGAAAGTTTCAGGGACGTATAATTAATTATTAAAAGGCATCAAAATCATCATAATATTTTACAGCAGTTACATCAGCGTTCACTTTTATCTCCCCTCACTTCATATTTCTTTCTTTGAATTATTTTGATGTACTGATATTAAATGTAAGCTTTTTTTTCTTTCATTTCAGAGCTGATGGAAGAGAGCGAGGAGAGTGAAGAACTGAGTGAAGCGGAGGAGAAACATCATGACAAACCTGGAGAAAAACCCTCGAGTCGCTCAAACTCTAAAAATACATTTTTAAAGAAATCTTTCAGCTGCAGTCAGTGTGGAAAGAGTTTGACAAGCAAACGTAATCTTGATGTTCACATGAGAATCCACACTGGAGAGAAACCGTTCACATGCGATCAGTGCGGGAAGAGCTTCACACAGAAACCACATCTTACGGGGCACATGAGGATCCACACGGGAGAGAAATCATATGGATGTGATCAGTGTGAGAAGAGTTTCACACACAAACACAGTCTTAATGTTCACTTGAGAGTTCATTCTAGAGAGAAACCGTTCACATGTGATCAGTGCGGGAAGAGTTTCACACAGAAACCACATCTTACGGGGCACATGAGGATCCACACGGGAGAGAAATCATATGGATGTGATCAGTGTGAGAAGAGTTTCACACACAAACACAGTCTTAATGTTCACTTGAGAGTTCATTCTAGAGAGAAACCGTTCACATGTGATCAGTGCGGGAAGAGTTTCACACAGAAACCACATCTTACGGGGCACATGAGGATCCACACGGGAGAAAGGCCGTATGCATGCGATCAGTGCGGGAAGAGTTTCACACAGAAACCACATCTTACGGGGCACATGAGGATCCACACGGGAGAAAGGCCGTATGCATGCGATCAGTGCGGGAAGAGTTTCACACAATCATCATACCTTCCTCTTCACATGAGGATTCACACAAGAGAGAAACCTTACACATGTGATCAATGCGGCAAAACGTTTCTGTGGGCTTCATGCCTGAAGACACACCTGGCAGTTCATACAAAGGAGAAGCCGCATTCATGTTCTGAATGTGCAAAGAGTTTTTCACTTCTACAACATCTGAAAGAACATCAGAAAACACATAATGATGTGAGAGACTACATGTGCTTTGAGTGTGAAAAGACTTTTACGAAAGCGAACTATTTAAAACGGCACCAGAGGATTCACACTGGAGAGAAACCTTACAAGTGTTCTCACTGTGACAAGAGATTCAGTCAGTCAACACATCTAAAATCACACGAGAGGATCCACAGCAGAGAGAAACCGCACACGTGTGATCAGTGTGGAAAGAGTTTCACTGTTAAACACTACCTGAAGCGACACAAGAGGATCCATGCAGTGGAGAAACCAGATCAGCGTGATCCATGTGAGCAGAGGTTCGTTCAGTTCTCTTCTTTATTCTTTCATACTAAAAACAGTCTGAAATCACAGTAAGTAGTTCATCTTTATGTGCTGAGCAGTAAAGTCTCTTCTGTCTAAGTTAGTTTCCTAACCGTCACACTGAGTGTATTATGTTATAGGACATGTTGTTGTTTGCCTGGTATCTGCTTCAAAATATTAACATTATTGTGAGACATACAAATTAAGAGAAACAATTTCATTGTTGCATCTCGTAATGAGAAATGTTTTCGTAATAATGCCTTAATATCTCATATAATGAGACAATTTTTCATAAGATACTTTCTTGTAATTATGACTCAATGTCTCATAATGAGACAATTTCTTGTAATAATGAGATACTTTCTCATAATACCTACTTATAAAAACAACTTAACCTCTCATGAGAAATGTTCTCGCAATTACTTAATATCTCATAATAAAGACACTTTTTTGTAACAATGAGATCATTTTCATCTCATTATGAGAACGTATCTGATTATTTTGAGAAAGCATCCAATTATTATATAAAAGTATCGTATTATTAAAAGAAAGTGTCTCATTATGAGATATAAGCTATTATGAGAAAGTATCTTATTATGAGAAACTATCTGATTTTTATGGGATGCATACAAAGTTTCTCATTATTATGACTTACATATTTATATTACTTAACTTTCAAAAACAGACTAAAAAAACAGCACAACTTTCTGTTTCTGATGGCTGCTTGTTAAAATTAATTTCATCAATAAGTTGTAGCAGATCTAGTTCAAGTTTGTTTTGATCATGAAAAACATCTGAAGAAAAATTGTGTGTTGTAGCTTTGACAAAACCTGATTATCCATGTTATCCTGTGTGATTTGACAGTCTTGAGTTACATGATCAATGCCACTATTTAACTTAGTTTTTTGTTTTTTTTACATTTCATGGAATTAGTCTTAGTACTTTGTGTAGAATCTGAAATATGTATTATTCATGTCACATCATGTCTATTAGAAATAGAACTTGTTTGTTTTTGGCAGAACTACCACTAATCAAATGGATTTCAGGGCAGAAGGAGAGAAGACGAGAGATCCAGAACCTGCAGAATGAAACATCGTGATACTGAACAGACAGGTTGGTGTTTATTCTGGATTCCTCGTTCATCATGCTGAAAAAGCTTGTGCTGTGTCGGAAACAATGCGATTGTTAGCAGATTACATGTCAAGTCTGCGTCATCTAGAGTTTCATGACCAAATTACTGATTAATAACACAAATCATCTTCATGACATTAAAATAGATCATAATCATGCACAACTGTTTTTGACCAGATTTAATGGATTAAAATGACTATTAAATTCATCAGTGGTCTTGACATTGGGGTTTTCATCACTTTTCATTTCACATTTGTCTCTCATTTGAAATCTCCCTTGATTTAATGTTTCTTTTCGACCTGATGGACGTGAACAAGAAGGAAGCCAAAAAAATCTGTCATCTGCCCTCAGTGTAAAAAGTCATTGACATGTAAACCAAGCCTGAAGATTCACATGAGAGTTCACACTGGGAAGAACACACTTAGGCTTTCATCTGAAATCACATCTTTTAACTGTGATCAGTGCCATGAACAGTTTCATTGAGCATCAGTCCTGAAGAAACATGGAGGTTCACGCAAAGGAGAAGACTCATTCGTAATATAAGGAAGTGCTTTACTTCAGATGCTGAAAGCTCCACATCCCAAAAGTGTGTTCCTGAGTTAAAACCCTCTGAACCTAGAACACAGAGACACTCATAAAATCTCTCTGGGTTGTTTGCTCTCGCTGTTTGTCACACTGGTCAGATCACCAGACAGAACGAGACATCGATGAGCAGTGTTTGGATGCAGAATCACAGGAGCTGATGAGACCCAATCAACAGATGCTGTTATTCTGATGTTCATATAATATTTTAATTCCTTTTTTGTAAAGCACTTTGAATTACCATACTGTATGAAATGTGCTATATAAATAAACTTGCCTTGCCTTACATGCACCGAGAGTAATGCTTACTCGAACCAAAAACATTAGGTGTCAATCAGTAACACAGTATGTTTGTGAGTCACCGAGTCATACACTGCGTTCCGAAATCGCATACTTCCCTACTATATAGTAGGCAAAAAACAGTATGTGAGGTGAGTAGTATGTCCAAATGTATAGTATTCGAAAAACAGTAAGTGACCTACTTCTTCCGCCCGGATTCTGAAATGTGCATTTGATGGACACTTTACTATCCCATGAGGCCACGGGAGAGGATTTATGAATGGCAGTGGTCATGTGACAGTAACAACATGGCGGATATAGTATGTCCAAATTTCATTCATACTAATATTCATCCTACATAGAACATACTTTTTTAACAGTCGTGAAGTAAATTCAAATGTAGTACCTACTCAGACAGTACGCGATTTTGGACGCACCTATTCATAGCTTTCAGTCACGTGACCGGCTCGAAGACCTGGAGGGCAAAACATCCATAGAACTGCAGGACAAGCCTGTCAATTTTCCATCTGTTTCACAGTCGCAAATATTTAGATCACCTCTCAAAAGAATACAACAAAGGTATGCGAACAAAATGCCAGTTTTGGCCATTTGTGATCCATATTAAGCACCCACGGCAATATTTCAATCATTAAATAGTGCGACAAAACGTTGTAAAAACACTTAAAGTGCCTTAATATATTTAAAACAGTAATATTCTCTATATTAATGATGCATAGTTTATATAGGCAAGCAGATGAGGCCGGAATATGAACGCAATCCACTTAATGGTTCAGTGTTTTCCTTCTAATGGTTTTCTATGGGAAACCATTTAACGTGTCACGAATCCGGTCTATGAACTTCTGTCTATTCGCCACCAGAGGTCACCCGCTCACTACATGGACTGTTACACTATACCCTGGACTACATTTCCCATCATCCATTGCACTGATTGCACACAGCTGTAACCAATCACACGCTCTCCTGAAAGCTATTACACACACTATATAACACCCACTCAGATCTTGCTCAAGTCACCGAGTATTGTTCTGCGTTTATCACTCTCCTAGTGATCGCTGCTTTACGGAGCCATTCCGATTTTTCTGAGGGAAAGTCTAGTTTATTCCTGTTTATTGCCTTAGCCATTCATGTCTGTATGATCTCTGCCTGCCCTGAAGTATATTGCCTGTCTTGGATTACCCCTCTCGTCTCGCCCTATTCGGATACTGTTTACCCCTCGCCTGTGCTTCGGATTACTCTTCAGTCTTGCCCTCTATATACCTGTCTTCCATTGTCCAACTCCTGCCTGTGTTGACCATGTCTTTAAATAAAGCCTTGCAGATGGATCCGCACGTCTCTCATCTAATCAGCTCCGTAACAATGTGTAACTTTGCACTTTGCGTTTATATTCTGGCTTCATCATGCTTCCCTGTACAAAATATACATAATCAATAATGTGTTTAATGAATTTCACCTTTTAATATCTGCGTTTTACTACATTACTACTTAATATAAACTGCGTAAAAATAACTGGCAGTCAGTGGAGCAAAGCTTCATTTTGCCCTCCAGGTGAGCGTTCCTATAAGGGTGTGACATCACATGAAAACTATCAATACGGCGCTTTCCAAACGAGAAATATCGCCCTCAGAAGGGCACTTCAGAGTGAAAACAATCATGGCCGCCATATTGATGGGTCGTTCCAAACCTAAGTGCTCAAAACTGGCCACTTCAAAGAGCCCTTTGGAATGAAGGATGTCGAAGGGTACAACTGATGGACACTTCAGGCTCCCATGATCCTTTGCACAGGGAAGTTGTTGGGCATCACAGAATTCGACTTCACCGATAAATTTATGCATAGTATTTTTCTATACTACTGTAATATTTATACGAGTTAGATTTGGTACATTATTATGGTCAAAATGACATTGTACTTCAACAAAAATACTTTACAGCTTCCTTTATCAGTTAATTCAAATGTTTCAAATACATAGACACAATATACATTACAAATACATGTTACATTACATTACATACACAAATATAGATTATATTTAACGTAAAAGACAATCGCAGCGTACAAAATATGCGACGAAGGCGCCTGCTTGATCGAGGTAACACAAGCTCCAGAACGAATCCGCAAAATGGGTCCATACCGGTGTCGACTTGCACAGTGCAACGGATCCGGAACAGATAAGGTTCATGGATTCGGAGCAGATCCGGACCAGACCCTGCCAGTATCCACTAATTAAGCAGTTCATCCGGACCAGATCCGTTTTGTACCTATTCTTGAAACAGCTCTGGCCCGGATCTGTTTTGGACCAGTTCATTAAGTGTGTCATTTGGTCTGAATCCGTTCTAGATCCTTTATTCAAAATGGGTCATCTGGCTAAAACTAGCTACAGCAATAGTTAAAATCGGGCTGACCAACATTATATATTATGTCTGACTTTATTAATATTAATAAAACATGAAATCATTCAAAACTTAATCTAAATTTTAGCAAGTAACAATAGAACTATTACAAATGAGGTGTTTACAGACTATAAATGCACTGAATAGATTAGAAATTTCACCAAGAAAATAATTTTATTTCATAAAAAACATGAACTAAACAACAACATTTCAAATTTACTCCTGAGTGTTGACAGTAGGACGGCTCCTGGAGCTTCCCCTATCTGCTGCCAAGTTGAACCCCCTTGTGGCATGTTTGAGAATTTCTTCATCGGTGATTCTTTCTTACAGCACCTGTAATACCCAAGCAGATTTCCATACAAAATGTCAACAAATCTCATCGGAGCTACCAGTTTTTGTTTTTAAAAAGATACACATAACCACTGTGTATCAATAATGTATACATAATTTAAATGGAAATGGAAAAATAGGAAAAATAACGCATAATTATTTTAACACATTATTTACACTACTAGCCCCACCCCAGACCTACGTAGGTCATCTTACATTTCATACAGTTGGTGACGGACATGATGCAGGACAACTCACTGTGTAATGTAGCCTATAAAATGCAGCTATATGCACTAAAGAGTTATAGCCAGGGGGGGTGCACATAAGTTGTGCACAGGTGTGCATGGGCGACCAACATAAAAAATGCGCTGTTTAAATCAGTTCAGTCAATCAATCAGTTCACACCCACATGCTTGACAGCTTTATTCACCATTTTAGATCGACTATCTAAAATGTTTATGTAATACTCTATACGATTTCCATTCAAACTGAAAGCCTAAATCTAGAGCATGTGCTGCCGTTTCTCAACAATGCAAAACTGATATTTCATTTACATATACATAAATGTAAAATGAAAATAGAATCATTGTATTTTTAAGTGTAATTTAAAATAATAATTTAACACTTTTAAAAAATATGATAGTATTATCACACTGTTTATTAATTTGATTATTTATCTACAAAATGAATTGCAATAATATTATTATTATTTTAATTTTATAGTTATATTTAATGAGTCACACTATGTGTAGTGTGTGCACCAAACCAAATCGAAGTGCTCTCATGAGATCCAGACTGAAAACGTTATGTGCACCTCTGGTTGTAGCTAGAGCTGTATATAGTCAATTAACTACATATGCCCTAAAAATTTGTTTTTTATATATAGACATATGATATAAATAAGATCACATAAGTGCTGTTTTTATACAACAGCTCAGTAAATACGGTAACATTGTGTTCTATTTTAGACATGATATTGTCCGTTTCTGATCAATTTTGGCAGCAAACCTAAAAAATCCACAGCATAACTGTTATGAGTCGCCGAGCAACACACAGTGGTGATGTTTCTAAATGGGATAGTTAGCCCAACAAGGAAAATTCTTTGAGTTGTTTCAAACCTATATGACTTAGTACTGTGGAACATAAAATGTGATATTTTAAAGAATGCTGACAACTAAACTGTTTTGGTCTGTAAATATAGCTAAATACCAATTCAGAGTATCGGTAGCCTAAAAGTTAATAAATAATACATTCTGTATTGAATCAAATAAAGGCATAGTTGACAGTAACATTGATTTCCACAGTAATTTTCCCCCCATACTATGTCAATCATCAACTGTTTGGTTACCAGAATTCTTCAATATATCTTCTACAAGAACTTGAGGGTGAGTAAATGACAGAATTACCTGGATTGTTTGTATGTGTTTTGCATATTATTACATCATGTAATCAAATGCAAAAAAATTTGGTAACGTTTTATTTTAAGGTGTCCTTGTTACATGTACGTACTATTATAATAACAATTAATTATGCATAATTACATGCAAGTAACCCTAAGCCAAACCAAAATCCTAATCCTAACCACATAGTAAGTACATGTAGTTAATTAATATTACTCAGTACTTATATGTATAATTACACTGTAACAAGGACACCTTAAAATAAAGTGTAACCAAAAATTCTTATCTATATTGCTGTTGCAGGTCTGTTAGTCTGCATTTAATTACAAAACTTAATGCATAGGTCTATTTTGACAAAATGATCAGATGATTTGTACCATTTGTTGCTAAGGTTATCACTGTCAGTCATAGCAGTTTCAGGAATGACCCAAGGAGTAATTTAGTAGGTTCACACTAGTAATTAAAAGTGTTTGTCACTCCTGAAACTTTGCAGCATACTTGGGCGGTGGTCCTCTTAGAAGCAGGAAAATCTAAGACTCTTTAAATTGTGAACAGAAAAAGAGTGCTACCTTTAATAGTACAACTGACTTGTGTTATAATCAATAAATCTGACCACACAACCTGCAGAAATAAAAAATAAATATACGGATATATAAGAAAATAATTGAGATGACGAGATGAGGCAGATCCCTGTTATTGTAGTCGACCTAGAATCTGATGATGTTGATGGTTCTGGATTCAGCTTTGCGTTTCTATTTCTGGGATACCATGTCCACTACTACAAAATAATTCGACAATGCCAATCAGTAAAAATAACTTCCAACTCTCCAGCTGATCTGCCACAACATGTAATCAAACTCTGATCACAATCTCCATATTAAATCTGGCACTTACTGTTAAATGTAGGTTGGAAAGCATTTAACCTTAAATATTGGCATGAATATTTTGACATTGCATGTTTGTTACACATTAAAAGCTGTAGTGTGGATAATTGTCAGTATTTGACAAACTAGTTTGCTAAACTATCTTGGAAAGTCAAGTTTAAAACTCGATTTAATCTTACCTTGAAAGATGAAGTAGAATTAAAAACCAGACTGGATCGATTGAATGAGATGTAAAGCTGCAACAGAACCATGGTTACATGTGTAACCCGAGACGTTCATATTTTTATTTCTGAGTAAAATTAAGCTTGTGGTAAACATAACATGACAATACTTTGATGTTTTGTTTTACAATGTAAACTACACACACTCACAGCCCAAACGTTCTTATCTAGTTACTTATTTAAAACATAACGTTTCAAAAATGAACATAACTGCTTCAAAATTTGTGTTTTAGGTATGGATGCCAGCAATGTCGGCTCAGTTTCGGCACCCAGACTTGGGCCAGTGTACTTGGGCTGATTCTGGCGCATCATTCATTTCCATATTTCACAAGAGTCCGGCAACCACAACTGGGCTCAGTTATTTCTTCCGGCTTGCCGGATTTGGGCCGTTATTGGGCCAGATCTTTTTGGCTACCTGGTTGGCATACGTCCCATTCCCGGGTGCACCATGTGCTTGTTTATTAGTTCTTAACAGAAACATAGGAGGTAGTTCAGCCTTGCATATACAACTGCAATTATATGTTAGACGATATATGGTATGAGGTATAAGAATAAAGACTTTTGTTATATCCAAGCAGTGATTAAATCTGTATCATGTTTGCTTTAGGGGTTTTCCATGTTTTAAATCTTTCAATGCCTAATTAATGATATTTTACCCCAAACATGACTGAGATTGAATGTCTGAGGTTGAATGTTGAAATGTCTGGGTTTGTAGTACTATTGTCTGCAGTGTTCGAACTATACCGTGGTCTTTGGGGAAGCCCACTTGTTTTTTTTCACGCAGACCTATAACAACCCAGCCACAACACTTAATTGCGAATAACATGCCTCACCTTAACACAGAATCCAGAGTCCAACATTTATATTTTTTCTACGAATCTTTGAGTTAACGTACTAAACATGAGTGGAATTTGCACCGCAGCACCCCCACACCTTGATGCTCATGACAAGAATAGCATGTATAGTTATCTTTATTGAAATTAATTAGGTTTAAATCGCCGTCATGCATGAATGAATGATATTTTTGCAATTTTATCATTTTCATTGACATTGTCAATATTTTTGGAGACCCCCCAAAACTTCACAAATCACATTTTCAGGGGAGTCCATGTCTTATTAAGGGGAGCCGAGCTCCCCCTAGTTCCCCCGTAGTTCGCACCCTGATTGTCGGTCTATCAAATGAACTCAAAAAGAGAATTTTAATCACCAGGATCCCAAAAACAGGTGATATTGAACACGCAAAGCTGCTAAGTGATGGAAGTTCGTAGGGCTTGGCGATTTTCTCGATTAATTCCAATTTATTGTTTTGCCACGATTGAATTTTTTAGAAATCAAGGAATCACGATTTTGAATAGAAATATGACCAAATGTTAGAATTAGACACTTTGACAATATGCCGGTGATAACAGTAAAGAGAAAAGCGATCCAACCGCATGTCGGCGCACGTGACTAACCGCTCAGGTGTGACGCGCTCTGTGAAGGACCATAGTAGTGCTACGAGCCATTCACATAGAATGCGCTTTTGTGTTGACAAAGAAGCGACGCGGGCAGTGGAATAGGTAAAGCATGCAAGAAGATGGGGGTGAACTTCTTGTAACTTGAGCACAGTGTTTTTAGAAAGTCGTTTCATTCATGAGACAGACACTGCAAGAGACGTGAGCACAACAGACAAACACATCCATGTTTACACATAAAAAACCTGTAAAGAACTACTACTGTATGTCTGATATTTCATGTTTGCATCATGGTGACAGACTGAAAGCTGCTGTTGTTTTTAAAGAACATGTATAGTTAATAATAGTCTACTGGTGTTATACCTTCAGTCATTTTGAATTTTAATTACCTTGACTTTTGAGATTTTCTAAAATAATTTTCCTCGTATTATTTCTGAACCCACAAGTTTGTACAATATGTAGTTGTAGTTTTTGCATCTTTTCTGCAAAGATATTTAACAAGTGATTTGTTTATCATGTTGACAACTTCATTTTGTTAACTTCTCAATTTTATTTAACTAAAGGGTAAATAAAGAAAAAGAATCAAGTTGTAGTAACATTTTTAAGTTGACTAGTTAAAAATCTTTAAAAAATCGAGAATCGGTCAAACATTCTGGAAAAATCGAGATTTTTCATTTTTTGCAAAATCGCCCAGCCCTAGAAGTCCGTTAGTGTTTTGCAGGGATAACAAACGATATGACATGGCTTTACGGTTAAAACTGATGAGTGGGAACACAGTTAAAGAGTTAGAGCACTGAGCCAGCTAACCAATCTGAGCCCGATTGTGTATTTCTGAGGGAGGGGCTTCATAGAACCAGGAACTCAACAGACTGTTTTTAGGAGAACGGAAACAGCGGTGTAGAACAAAGGTAAAAGTGAGTGACCTTTGACCGTGACATGTGGCCAAGTATGGTGACCCATACTCGGAATTAGTGCTCTGCATTTACCCATCCTAAGTGCACACACACAGCAGTGAACACACACACACACCGTGAACACACACCCGGAGCAGTGGGCAGCCATTTATGCTGCGGCGCCCGGGGAGCAGTTAGGGGTTCGGTGCCTTGCTCAAGGTGCACCCCAGTCATGGTATTGAAGGTGGGAGAGAGCGCTGTACATTCACTCCCCCCACCTACAATCCCTGCCGGTACGAGACTCGAACCCACAACCTTTGGGTTATGAGTCCGACTCTCTAACCAACTTCCCAAGGAATATGTGAAAATAATGGGGGTTTTTTTAACGAAGCATCAACACATTACACTGCACCCCATAAACACAATCAAGCCTTCGATTAAAGTTGATCAACGGATGAACTGGGATTTTAAACCATCATGCTGATAGCATTTCTTAAAGGGATAGTTCACCTAACAATGAAAAGTGTTTAATTTACTCGCCCTCATGTGGTACCAAGCCTGTATAAATTTCTTTCTTCTGCTGAACACAAAGGATGATATTTTGAAGAAAGTGGGAAACAGAACAGTTCTGGGGAATCATTGACTTCTGTAGTATTTTTTTCCAACTACGGAAGTCAAGGGTGCCCTAAAATGGCCTGGTTACAATCTTTCTTCAAACTATATTCCTTTGTGTTCATCAGAACAAATAGGTACAGCTTTGGTACAACTTGAGGGTGAGTAAATGAAATAATTTTCATTTTTGGGTGAACTATCCCTTTAAGAAATGCTATCAGCATGATGGTTTAAAATCCCAGTTCATCCAGTTGTTCCAAACCTGTATAAATCTCTTTGTGCGTTTCCCAAAAAAGCACTTAACATGAACACGCGAAAACGCATTCTACATCCTACTTAAGAGTCACTGTCCATTGTCAAGTAATGAACTATTACCTTATAGAACCGTATGCTTGAACCTAATAGTCGTCACCTGATGTGGGTCAGAAATAAAATACCTTTTAAAAAGATTAATGTTCTTCTGGAGAAGGTGAAATGAAATAAATATGTAATTTTCACCAGAATTAAAAGAACACCATACAAATAAGGAAAAACAAAATGGGAGGATCTTGTGCTGTTTTTGTCTAGAATAGCACGAGTGCAAATGTGACATTGATTTTTGAACTGAACTGATCATTGATTGAACAGTTCAAATAACTTAATATTGTGTTATATTTTAAACACATTATTCCCTGTTTTTGCTCACTTTTGCCAAATATTAGGATGCCTATTAATATTTCTCCAAGCAACACACAATTCCTGCATTTAATTCGTGTTTTAAACGAATCAGGTGAATCAATGAATCAGTGGCCCATTCTTAAAGAGAGCCATTTACTTACCGTATTGGCCCGAATATAAGACGACCCTGATTATAAGACGACCCCCCTTTTTCCAGATGTACCTTTTGGAAAAAGGCTTTTTTAAAAACCAAATCTTGTTTTTTCTCAGTAAAACACATTTTGTCTTCAATTATTTTCATATTG